CGTTCCCCCCCCCCCCCCCGGACCAGGTGAACACATACCTTTGGGGAGCACTCCTGGAACTCGGCCGCCCGGGGTGCACATCGAGCCAGGCTCAGGCCACTGCCGCGGTGGCAGCAGCCGCTCTTGCACTGGGCGCTCTGCAGGCACAGCTCCCCGGTGTCCTGCAAGGCATAAGCACCAGGTCCCTCTCTGTCCCCTCTTAATTCCTACCTAGATGTGTGCCCGGGGGGCTTTGGGTGGGTGTGGGACCTCATTTTGTATGGGGCTCAACTCTGCTGCCAGCACACCTGAGCTTCCCACCCTGCAGGATTTCCTCGTTCTGGCCCAAAATACCACCTGCCGAAGTGCTGATTTCTGCCTGGCTCATGGGAGCAGGGCTGAGGCACCGCAGGGAAAATGTCCCCCCTCCCCATTCCCTGTGAGCCCCCCAGGGAGAGGGTCCTCACTGGGGCAGCCAGGCGAGAGCTTCAATCCCATCCACTTCGGGGCTTCCCTGTCCCTTTGCATGGCTGCTTTGGTGGGCTCTGAGATCCCTCACAACCCCAGAAAACCCAGCACACCATCCCCATCTGCCTCGGTTTCCCCAGATGCAATAATTTTTGCCCCTCCGGGCTCTCCCACATAGCTGCTGCCAGACCAAAGCACCCCCATGACCCTCCGATGTGGCACTCGGGGTGTCCCCTGGCTATGGCCAGGATGGAACTAGTTGTCCCTCTTACCAAGTTGAAGATGAGTCCTCTTTCGTGTGGGGCAGGCAGGGCTGGGGCCAGGAGCAGCAGGGCCAAGAGCAGGCAGGGGACCAGCGTGGTGGCCATGGTGGGCTCGCTCGTGCCTCTGCCACGGGGCCGGCGGGAGCTTTATAGCCGACGTCTCCATCAGCTGATGTGGCTGCTCCTATCACACCCCAACTCGTGGCACTGGGGGCAGCGCCGCGATGCCCTGCCCAGGGTGGGAGAACAGCGATGCCCGTGCTGCCAGAAGGTGCCACGATGGAGACCTCTGCCATTGTCCTCTACCGGAGATGTCAACCTGCCCTCTGGCAGCTCCTTTGGGCGAAGTGAATGTGAAGTAACGGCCTTCCTGCATGTCCCTCGGGGGGGATTTCCACTCCTCCCTCCTCTCCTTCACCCATTGGAGCTGGGGGTCTCCAAGGTGTCCTCCTTGATGATGGGTCCCTGGGCAAAGCAAGAGCTGGCACCACGGCAGGAGCTCCCTTCCATGAGAAAGCGCTCACCCCCAGAGCCCTCCATCGCTCAGACGTTACGATCACAGACTTGAGCAAGCCCAAAGCACGGCAGGAGCGAGCCCACCCCCCTGCTAGCATCCCCCCGGCCTCGCTCGGTGCTCCAGAGCCCACCGATGTCCCCATCCCACCCTGCCCTGCCAGGTGTTTGCTCAGGGTGTTTCAGTGCCCAGGGGATGCGGCTGATGAAAGACCAGCCCTGGGAACGGCACAGCCTTTCGCACCCACCTTGGCCCAGCTGCTCTCAGCAATGATTAACACCCGGCCAGCCCTGGCCTTCGGTGGCCCCGGGGGGTGACGCTGAGGCTGGCGCTGGTTGCTGGGTGGCCCTCACCCCGGCACGTGGCATCTGGACCCCAGGGCAGGAGCTGAGCCCTCTGCGGTCCCTCGGTATGCGGAGCAGATGTGGCTCCTGGAGAAGGGTCCCGAGGTGGCCACAAGTGCCCACAGCCCGTCCCTGGGGCTGCCCCATGCTCCTCTGGCGGCAGGACACAGGGATCAAGCAGGGACCTGGCCCTTCTTCATGTGCTGGCTGATGCCCCGGGGTGTCCTGGCAGCAGGATGAGCCCTTTCCCTTCCTGCAGAGGGGTGGTGGGGACAGTCCCGTGGTTACCAAAGCCTATCCCTGAAATGTTAATAGTAACTATGGTGTCAAAAGGCGTTTTCTGTGTCCTCAGGAGTAATGAGGATTCTAGCCTTGAATTTATCAAGCGTGAGCTGATGAAAAGGACTCCTCACCAAGGGAGATGAGGATTGTATCACTGTTGAGGAGGCACATGGGGTGTAAGGACCTTGAGGGTGGTGCTAATCTACATGTTCTGAGCAGTTTAGCCAATCTGGCAGGAAAGTGGCAATTCTTAGTGCCCTAAACTGAACTACCTTCATTATAGAATCATAGAACAGTTAGAGTTGGAAGGGACCTTAAAAATCATTGAGTTCCAACCCCCCTGCCCTAGAGGACACACCTCCCACCAGCCCAGGTTGCTCCAAGCCCCCTCCAACGTGGCCTTGAACCCCTCCAGGGATGGGGCAGCCACAGCTTCTCTGGGCAACCTGGGCCAGGCTCTCACCACCCTCACAGTAAAGAATTTCTTCTTAATATCTCATCTCAATCTCCCCTCTTCCAATTTAAAACCATTACCCCTTGTCCTGTCTTCCTGTCCTACACTTCCTGACAAAGAGTCGCTTTCCAGCTCTCCTGTAGGCTTCCTTCCCTCCCTGTATATTAGTTATAATACTAAAAATCACACCCATCGGCCAAGAAGACCCTTGACCAGGTGAAGACCCTTCCCTTGAGCATGCGCCATAGCTATAACCTGGTGGTATGATTGTGTGTAAATTACTGAGCAACCAAACATAGGCAGGAGGTGCTAATATCATAATGACATTGTAAAACGTGCATAAAAATCACACGGGGAGTTCTGACGGGGGGATGCACAACAGGAGGAGACCCCCCCCCACGCACCTGGTACTGTAAATAAACTGATGTCACCTTTCAAAACTCCAAATGTGGTTTGGAGAGTGACAGTTTTGTTGGGGATTTGGGTAACAGCCCCCCTGCCTGCAGCCCCACTGTCCCGGAGCTGACAGGGGGGGAGGTCCAGGGACCTGCAGTCCCCCACCCCAATAATGCAGCACCCCATGAACCCCCCCCCAGTGGGGGAAGACTCTGGTGACACCAGCTGGAAGGGCAGAGGGTGGTGGGGACATAGGGCTCATCCCACAGGCACTGGGAGCACCCCAGGGTGCACGATGGAGGCACAGGGCGCATCCCGAGGGGTTATCCCAGGGATACGGGGCGCACGCCAGGGACACATCCCAGGGACACATCCCAGTGACACATCCTTGGGGCACAGGGTGGCATACGGCTCATCCCGGGGACACAGGGCGCATCCCGGGGTCCCCTCCCGGACGCACAGGGCTCATCCCAGGGACACGGGGCACATCCCGGGGACAGAGGGCTCATCCCGGGGTCCCATCCCGGAGGCGCAGGGCACATCCCGGGGACTCAGGGCTCATCCCGACAGCCCATCCCCCGCCGCGCCGCCCGGCTCCCCCCGCGCCCACCCTGGCTCGGGGCTGGAGGGGGGGGGTGTCTCGCCGGCTCCTCCCGGGTCCTCCCCGGGCTCGGTGGGTGGGTGGGTGTGGGAGGGGGTCGCGCCACCGCCCCCCGGGGCGGTCCCGCCGCCGCCGGAGCCTCCCGCCGCCGCCGCCGTTGCCGTTCTCCGCCGGGGCGGGGCAGCGCGGGGCGCCCCGGGGATCGGTGTCGGTGACAGTGGCCGTGACAGTGGCGGTGTCCCCGCCATGACCAAGCTGCTGCCGGCGCAGGAGGCGGCCCGGATCCCGCGCCCACCCTGGCTCGGGGCTGGAGGGGGGGGGTGTCTCGCCGGCTCCTCCCGGGTCCTCCCCGGGCTCGGTGGGTGGGTGGGTGTGGGAGGGGGTCGCGCCACCGCCCCCCGGGGCGGTCCCGCCGCCGCCGGAGCCTCCCGCCGCCGCCGCCGTTGCCGTTCTCCGCCGGGGCGGGGCAGCGCGGGGCGCCCCGGGGATCGGTGTCGGTGACAGTGGCCGTGACAGTGGCGGTGTCCCCGCCATGACCAAGCTGCTGCCGGCGCAGGAGGCGGCCCGGATCTACCACACCAACTATGTGCGGAACGCCAGGGCCATGGGGGTGCTCTGGGCCCTCTTCACCCTCTGCTTCTCCATCCTGATGGTGGTGACCTTCATCCAGCCCTACTGGATCGGCGACAGCATCGACACGCCGCAGGCTGGCTACTTCGGCCTCTTCTCCTACTGCATCGGCAACGCTCTCACCGGCGAGCTCATCTGCAAGGGCAGCCCCCTCGACTTTGGCACCATCCCCTCCAGCGCCTTCAAAACCGCCATGTTCTTTGTCGGCATCTCCACCTTCCTCATCGTCGGCTCCATCCTCTGCTTCAGCCTCTTCTTCTTCTGCAACGCAGCCACCGTCTATAAAGTCTGTGCCTGGATGCAGCTGGCGGCGGGTGAGTGGGGCTGGGGGCGACTCACAGGGGGGAGCGGGGGCTGCTGGTGGTCCTGTCAGAGCTGCTTTTCCCTCTCTGTCCCACCTCAACTCTGCCAGGAGGATGGTGGCCAGGAGAGGGACACCAACGTCACATCCGTGCCCCATTTGCTGCCCTGTCCTGGTTACTAGTGGGGAATTTGCAGTAAGTAAAGCCTCTCAGAGCAGCTGAGATCCGTCAGACTCATTGCACGTGGGCGATGCTCCCCTCCGTGCGCTGCTGCAAAACCACGCGGCCCCAAGAGCCCGGACACGACCCGTCCCCACTTACCTGGGGGGCCTTTTCCTCTGGCCATTGCCCAGCGCTGTCGCTCCTGCTCTGCCCCACGGCTGTGGCTTCGGAGCATTGGTCCGAGAGCACTGAAGGCTGCAGGCCCGGGGCACGGGGCTCCCTGACACATTAGGGATCCTGCAGGAATTAAGCAGGGAGATGGTGACGTTTGCTGGGTTATTTGGTGCCTGCAACATCCTCTGCAGCAACCGGTACCTCCCTGAGCTCATGGGAAGACGTATGAGGGAGGGGGAGCGGGAGGAGGGGACTGAGGGTAGGATTTGGTGCTCATTACCCACATTTCCCTATTTTTCCGCTCATCCTCGCATCCCTCTGCTCATCCCTGTGGATCTCCAGCCTTTCCCCATCCATCTGTCCATCCCTCCCTCCCTCCCCCAGTGCAGTGAGACATCCTAGACACCGGTAACCCAGCTCCTGCCTTCTCTGCCCCAGCTGAAACCCAACCCGGCCCCTTGGCTGCTCCTGAATCATTCATGCCGGGACCAGCGACAGCCTCTGCCGTCCCCGGGGGCCCCTGTGGCAAGGACACCCCAGCTGAGACCCCGTGGGAGGGTGGCATCAGGGCTGCTCCAGTTCCCGACTAAAGAAGCGAGCTCAAGCTAAGATTTAGATAAGAGGCTTGGGGCAGCTCAGCCTCCCCGGGAGCTGGAGCAGGGAAAGGCTTTGCTCTTGTATTTGGGGCTTTTATGGACATTTGTTGCGCTGAATAGGGAGAGCAACCCAACGTAGGTGGCTCTGGTCAGGTGTACAATCCCAAATCATCCCCAGGAGCCCAGTTTCTCCACCACAAACAGGCTCTCTGGAGCTTTCGAGCTGCCACTGGGCAATACAGGTGCTGCTACATTTCTGGGACTTATTTTAAAAAGGGGGACAGGCAATGAGAAGATCCATTTTCTGGCCTTTGCTCCACACCAGGGGACACTTTCACAGGAGAAGCTCTTTCTTTTCAGCTGCCCCCATTTCTTTGTGCCCCTCCTCTCATTAGTTACAGGGAAGAGTAATTAAATAAAGGAGAAAGTAGCTGCTTCTCAATGAAGGGAAATGCTCTCTGTAGACCTGGGAAGCTGCTCGCTGACTTTGGTCCCTCTCTTCTTCTTCTCAAGCCAGGGAGAAAAAGCCCTGGCAAAGGGTGAGGGAACCACCCCAAAAATGTTTCCTGGTTTACCGAGCACCCAGTGATGGAGAAAAGGCACCGGAATGGGGCAGGGAGCACCTCGCTGCTGCAGGAGGACGTGGGTGTCCCTAAAGGACAGGGACAAACGACCGCTGGTCCCAAGCTCTCACTGTGGGGTTGTTTGTGGCATGAGGAGCCCTCAAACCTGCGTGAAAACACATAAAGGACCAGTTACTTCCGTGCTCTGCATCAAGATAACAGCAGGGGATGCGAAGAGCCTCCATTAATCACACCCCAAAGCCTTGCAGATGAGCTTGGTTCTTCTCCCTCCAGACCCTGGTCGTTCTTCTCGTCCAGCAGATACGATTTCTCCAAGTATATAGGGGAAAAAATATAAAGCACTTGTGAGATGTGGGGACCTGAGCCACTTGGCAGAAGATGACGGCCCTTCAGCTCTGGGTTTGTTGGGACTCCCACGGCAAAGCCACAAAGGTGACACACTGAGGACCCCATGGCCCGGCTGTAGTGGCCACCGAGGCCATGTGTGCCCCAGGGTCGAGCATCGGGAGCGGCCACAGGAGGAGGTGGTGGCTCCCGTCCGGGCTGGAACTGCCGCAGCTGAACAAGCAGAATTAATCTGCCTGCAAAGCCACTACTGACAGCAGCTCCGCCTCACTAAACCCTATGGTGAAATCCAGCCAGGCACGAGGCAGCAGCCGGGTTCTCCATCTCCTACAGTCTAAATCCATCCCTGTTTTGTTTGGAGAAAATATTTCTTGGGAGTGCTGCAGGCAGGGATGCGGGAGAGGTGTTGCCTGGGCAACGTGGGGATGGGAGATGCTGCTGCAGCGTGTCCTTGGCAGGGAGCAGCAGCCGTATCCTGCTCCTCCCTGGATGCAGCAGCACCAGTGAAGCAGAGCCTGTGCATGGTGGGCAACCATGGGGCAACTTTAAGCCTGGTTTGTCCCGGTCCTGGTTTAAGTCCAGGCTGGAGAGCAGCCCTGAGGAGAGGGACTTGGGAGTGTTGGTGGGTGAGAAGCTCCACAGGCCCCAGCAACGTGTGCCACGAGCCCAGAACCCCCCCCACACCCTGGGCTGCATCCCCAGCCCCCCCCCCCAGTGCTGCCTCCAGCTCTGGGGCCACCAACAGCAGAAGGACATGGAGCTGTTGGAGCGGGGCCAGAGGAGGCCCCGGAAATGCTGGGAGGGCTGGAGCCCCTCTGCTGTGAGGACAGGCTGAGAGAGTTGGGGGGGGTTCAGCCTGGAGAAGAGAAGGCTCCGGGGAGACCTTGGAGATCCTTCCAGTCCCTCAACAGGCTCCAGGAAAGCTGGGGAGGGACTCTGGATCAGGGAGGGGAGCCATAGGACAGGAGAGAATGGTTTTAAACCAAAAGAGGGGAGATTGAGCTGAGATGTGGGAAAGAACTTGTTTGCTGTGAGGGTGGTGAGAGCCTGGCCCAGGTTGCCCAGAGAAGCCGTGGCTGCCCCATCCCTGGAGGGGTTCAAGGCCAGGTTGGAGGGGGCTTGGAGCAACCTGCTGTGGTGGGAGGTGTCCCTGCCCAGGGCAGGGGGTGGCTTAAAGGTCCCTTCCAGTGCAAACCATTCCATGATTCCATCTATCTTTGCCATGCTCCTCCATCTCTCCATGTGGAATCTGGACTCAGCAGGTACCTCATGGCCACTGTAATGCCTCCCTCTCCCCACAGCCACAGGGCTGATGATCGGGTGTTTGATCTACCCTGACGGCTGGGACTCGAGCGAGGTGAAGCGCATGTGCGGGGACAAGACGGACAAGTACACGCTGGGAGCCTGCACCGTACGCTGGGCGTACATCCTCTGCATCATCGGCATCCTCGACGCTCTCATCCTCTCCTTCCTGGCCTTCGTGTTGGGGAACCGCCAGGACAACCTCCTCCCATCCGATTTTAAAGTGGAAAATAAAGGTAAAGGCTGAGCTCCAAGCCCCCCTGTCCCTCTGCAGAGTGTTCCCACCCTACAGCTTCGGGGAGACGATGGTGGCTTCCCCCAACGGGAGAGTTGTCACAGTCAGAGGGACTCCCCGAGAGCCAGCATGGGGCAGAAAAATCAAAGCAGTAAAGGCAGGAGCCCAAATTGAGCCAGGCTCCATTTCACACTCCTGGGGCTTTCCCTCTGCCCATTGCATTTTCATATTTATTTTTTTTAACCCCTTTTTGAAAATAAAACCTGGCAAACCCCCCCCAGCCCTCAGTTTTATCCCACACCCATTAACACCTTAACGATCTGTTTGTTTTACAGAAGAGGGCCACGACTGACAGAGCTCATTACCACGTAAGTGATGCCCACAGTGTTTTGTTGTTGTTTTTTTTTTAATTCCCCCAGCACACATAATATTGGGGTTGTATTTTGAGGATTACTAAAGGACTCACAACTGTATAGATTTGGGTGCTACAGTCCCATTGGGTTTATTTGTGGTTAAAGGAAAAATAGCCTTTGCTTTGTCTCTTAAGACCAGGAAAACATAAAACCCTGCCAAGTGACAAAAAAAAAAAAAACCACCTTAAAATTTAAGTCCTGCTCCCTTTGGGCAACACTTGATCTGTTATTTCTCTTTCCAGGAACTCAAGCTCTTCTTCCATCAGTCCTTTTCTTTCAAGTGACTTTTCCAGGAGCTCTAAACTTACCAACTTCTGTGGATTTTCTACAACTGTGGAATGTGGTGGCCTCGCAGCAGCCCTGGAGTTTTGGGATGGGAAGAGCCCAAACTGGATACATGGGGGTTTTTTTGAGTCCATCAGCAAACCCGGGCGAAAGGGGAGGGATGGCCATTTGCTGCTTCTTGGGGTTTGTACACCTTCTTTCAAGGAAATTACTTCTGAATTAAAAAAAAAAAAATTAGTGTTTTGGGTGTTGTGCTGGTCCCCTTGGGGCAGGGGAAAGCCTCAGGTTGCTCTCCTGCTTGAAAAATACCATAGAATTCAGAGCCGTGAACCAGCTTCCCCCTCTGGGCAACCAAAAACAAACTTTTTTTTTTAAAAAAGGGCATTTTCTCTGGGGGGAAAAAAAAAACTCTGGTGGGGTGCAGTGACTCTCACAGGCTGGGACAGTCCCTGCAAACTTCTGGAGAGGGCACAGCAAAGGGCTACAAAGATGATGAGGGGCCTGGAGTATCTCTCTTATGGGGGGAGGCTGAGAGACTTGGCGCTTTTTAGTCTGGAGAAGAGAAGGCTGAGGGGGGATCTGATCAACACCTATAAATACTGAAAGGGTGGGTGTCAGGAGGATGGGGCCGGTCTTTTTTCAGTGGTGCCCGGGGACAGGACAAGAGGAAATGGGCACAAACTTGAACATAATATGCTCCATCTAAACATGAGGAGTAACTTTTTCACTTCGAGGGTGGCAGAGCCCTGGAAGAGGCTGCCCAGAGAGGTGGTGGAGTCTCCATCTCTGGAGACATTAAAACTCCACCTGGACATGTTCTTGTGCAACCTGCTCTGGCAGGGGTTGGACTAGATGATCTCCAGAGGTCCCTTCCAACCCCGTATCATTCTGTGATTCTCTGAGATGGTGCCAGTCAGCATCAACTCACCAACCACCCCAGAAACCCCCATTTTGCCATCATTTCTCACCGCATCCAACACCCACCTGCAGCACCATGGCACATGGTCCTGTCCGGCTCTTCCCTGGGCAGAAACCAACATTAATTTGAAAAATTAGGATTTTCATTCCTACTTGCTGTGATTTGGTGGTTCCGGCAGCAGCCAATTCAATTCAGTTCTGACAACCACCTTCTAGTTTGGCAGGGAGAAGAGCAGAGAGAGGTCAGACTTGAAAAACATATTTTAGAACGAAGAAACAGCAGAGTTGTCCTGCTGTTGACTATTTTTCTTGCCATTTTAAAACAGCTCATCACCCCCACCATCTCCATGCATCTTGTTCTGGAAATAAAAACTCAAGTGCTCACCAGCAAAGAAAATTCCATCGATGGGCCACAGGCTCAGAAAGACAGGACTTACAGAGGGAACATATGAGGAATAGGGCTCAGTTATTAAATAATCTGTTTATTGTACAGCTTTCACAAAGGAGAAAAAAAAAAAAAAGACAAAGCACCCAAGTAGAAAGAATAAAAATGTATTTTCCTTCAGGTTTTAGACTGACACAGCAAGTACAAATCCTTTAGTGTGAGCACTTTACGGCAGTTTGGAAACTTAACAAACCCCAAGTGAAGGAGCACACGGTACAAGACGGAATCCCGACAGCTGCTCCTGCAGGTTTTCAACTCACAAACTGGCTCCAGTCTTGGCTCTCAGGGTAAAAACCCTCCTCCTCCAGTCAGGGGGCAGAGGGAAGGGGAGGACGGGAAAGGGCTCTCAGAGTCAAAGCAGACCCCTTCTAGGAAAAGTTCTTTAAATCAGCCAGTGCACAGGACCGGGTGAGCCCTCAAGACAAGAAATCCTTTGCCCTGCCTGTGGATCTTCACAGTTTGGAACCCAGTCCTGTCTCCAGGACTTCTGTAATAGGGATGGAAGTAACACACAACTGGAAAATTCCAGATGAAAGGAGGGGGAGGAGGTGGGAAACCCAAAAAGGTCAAATCAGCAGTTTAAAACTCTTTTGGTATGTTACCTTCCTTTAATTTTAGATTATATGCATAGAGAACCTGATCTACCCCTACGAGAACATGCAGCATGATTTGCATTAATGAGCCTGATCAGCACTGGACCCAAGAAACTTTCTTTCGAGTGGGTTAAATGACACTAAAGTTTATGAATGAACCCTCCTTTCGAACCAGGATTTCCAAACACACACAGAAAAGTGACACGTAACAGTGGTCTTGGCAGCTTTGGCAACACAATTGTCTCCAAGAGCATCTGGGTGGCCTCCAGCATGTTCCTGCAGCAGCTTCTACCACTGAGAGCCACCAGCAATCCAAAGGCTGGTTTGGTCCAGGGGAAGGGAGTGCCTTTGGAGCCCCAACACTGCCAAATCTCACTTTAGAGCAGAGTAGGATACACTCAAATCTGTAACAGGATGGGCAAGTCTAGAAGAAGCCATCATAAAACTATCAAATGCCACAGTGCTTTAACTTTTAATTAAAATTAACCTATTTATTCATATCCAACCTCCTCTGAGAAGTTCACATAGAACCCCCCCCGCCCCCGAACATTTTTACTGGGGGTAAACTCTAGAAACAGCTTCTAATCCAGTATCTACATGGAAAAAGTCAGTTCTCTTCCACTTCTGCTAGCTTGCCTTGTGCTAACGGCCCAGAAAATAAAAGGCAGTCCCATCCTGGGGAGTCATTTCTGAAGGCCAGCACCTGAAGCAAGTGGAAAAGGAAAAGAAATCTTTACATTGGGCCTTCAAAGTGTTGATTTTCAAAGCCAAGGGCGATAGCGTGGCTGCAACCCAGACGCTTGGGAAGCAGCAAATGGTCAAAACTCAAGAGGCAGAGCGGACCGCAGCAGTGAAAGCCAATCTCTCACAGACACAAGGCAAAAAAGTGCCTATAAGGGATAAAAAAAGAAAAAAAACAACAAAAAAACCCACAACACACCCCAAAAAACCTTACAGCTCACTAAAATATTAGCAGAGTTGCCTACAACAAGGCTTCCTGTGCCGCCAAAGGGCGCAGCCATCTGTGTGCCGAAGGTTGTGCGTTGAGTCAGTTCCAGCTTATTTCACTTGTCGCCTTTTAGTCACAGGCATGAAAGTAGAAAAAACATCACCAAGTTCTGAAACTATTCCGACTATCTGGGCACAAGGAAGGAAAAAGTAAAGGGAGCAGGGCACTTCAGAGGAAGAAATCAAGGATACTAAAGCCCTAGGTTTAAATAGCTCTTTTCAAAAGATTTAAGCAGCTAGAACTAAAGAAAAGTTACGTGACTGGAACGCAAAGAATACAGCAGACACCCAGAAAACAGAGGATTTCAAGGTCTTTGCTCTACAAGGAACTACCAGCACCTCAGTGCCACCCGTTACTTCTCACCCCTTTGCTTGCTACTGGATCAACAGCGGGAAATCGGCTCCTGAGTCAGTGAGATGAGGAGGTGTTTGGATCTTCACATCCTCCCTCAGGAAGAAAGGAGAGCTGAGGTTTAGCTACGGGAGCAGATCTGAGCAGGGGTGAGCTCACATCTGTAACACATGGCGCAAAACAGTGAGGAGACTCGGGGAAAAACTTCCTATTTTAGGCAATTAGTCTTTGGCAAAGCCCAATCAAGGCAAAACACGGATGACACCCCACCAGCTGAGGAGAGTCCCCATCGAGTCACACAAGAAACTCAGCAGAACAGGTTAGATTTATCTAAAATTCTTGGGAGCCTCGAAGGAAGAATGTCACATTGGAAAATGAACAAGGGAAAAAAAACCAAACAAAACCAGGAAGGGGCAGCTGGGTGCGCGTATGTGATGCTGTAAACCAGAGTGTAGTGCTGTGGCGTTGGGCTGAAGCCTCTAGGAGTTAAGCCAGGGGTGCCTGAGACACTCGGCGGCCGTCGCTCGTTTCTCCGGGATCAGCTCCAGCATGGGTAATAAGAAGTCTGTGAATGCAGCTGCCTCCTCTTGGGACCACTGGTATTTTTCCACCAAGACTTCAAAAAGGCCCCAGGGCTTCAGTTTGGTGATGTGCTTCAGGTCACCTGAAAACCCAGACAGATGGGTTAAGTGGGAGACATGGGAACAGTGAAGCTGAATAAAATAGGCCGAACAGTTAAATGAAACAGAGTGAATTCAGAAATTCTTCTGAACACTTGGGCACTGGGAGTATAAACAGTAGGCCATGCTGAGGGAAGAAATGAATTACACTAAACCCCCTTTTCTATCTGCTTTTGAAGACTGTTCTAGAAGTGTACTTTCTTGAAGGCTTCTTTTTCCCCCCTCCTGCTATTGCTGATCCAACATCAGCAAATAGTGTTTAACTTTATTAAATGACCAATTATACTGATTGACATGACAGATAAACAGTGGGCCGTTGACTTTCGAATACACGCAATACATGCTGCACTTTGAGAAAGCAACAGACTGCTAACAAAAAAGGGTTTGTTTTATTAAAAAAAAGAAATTTATTAAACTAGGTCAAAAACAATTTCTTGAGACTCAATACATTTCTGGGGTACTTAGAGCTTTACGATAATGGTACAATGTGTCCTGAGCACCATGGCTCAAGGATGAAAGGCACTATTTAGGTGAGTGGCATGTGAGAAATGGAACAAAGTTGTCTAGAGAAGACTTCAAAGGTGAGTCAACACCTCTAGTTCACAAAAAGCAGCTAAAAAAAGCCCAATCAAGCCTGTAGAAGTACCCACAGTACTTTTTTCTCTACCTGCTGCATTTGATCTACCCCAAGATGTCAAGTAGGAGGGCGAAGGATACTTTTAGCAGTTAGACAAGAATGCCTTATATTTAGCTGCAGTTTTACTGAGAAAGCCTTTCATAAAGCAAAGGAAAGACTTCAAGAAGCATCTATTGTTAATTGGTTATTTCTAGCAAGGCACTGTTGTGTATTTGGGGCGATAAGTGACACTGCTTTGTTTCCTCTTACCTTTTTTGGTGAAAAACTCCTTGGAATATTTTCCAGCCAAAATGAGCTTGCGAGGTATTTTGCCCAGAAGTTCTATGATCAATGCAATGTGATCTGCATTTTTTCAAAAGAAAAGACGAGTCACATCCACACAAGGCATCTCTGTGCCCCTGTTTCCTTCTCCAGGATAGAAGGACAAAAACATTATCTCCCTTAAAAATTACTTTGAGATCCACCTGAAATCAGCTTACACCAAGCAATGACAAAGTCAAGGGAAAAAAAACGGGTAAGGACAATTCAGGGCACGATCAGTTTAAGCAGCAAGACATAGAACCCAGTGGTAAGAGCAATGGGAAACACAAGAACATGGATTTCATTGCAGTGTTTTACTGCAGAGGCTCAAGCACAGTTGGCGCTGATTTAAGTAAACCATCTTTTTGCCAGGAGCCTTTGCATTGCTAATCAGAAGAGAAGGCTCACTCTGAAGAAGCAATCGTTGTATTTCACATCCCATTTTAAAAAAGAAAAGACTAAGACAAACACACCTTCATCCCGTGAGTAATCTTCCCCAGAATGCGGCTCGAAGAGATAGTCTCCTGTTGCTAACTCAAAGGCCTAAACAAACAGAAAGGAGCACGTTTAAATCACTTGAATACACTCCACAGGTTGATTCTGCATCTCTCTGCGGGCCAGAAGCAAAGCAGTGGGAAGAATAACCTCCAAACCTCCGGCACACGATCATCAGCTAAAGATGTGTAATCACTTTGCATTATTTCAATGATTACGTTAAAAAACCATCACAGGCACATCTGTGATGAGTTCTGGATCACAGCATATGCAGTATTCATGCGTGAAACAGTACAAAATTAAGGCATTTCACATGCTTACCCTATCTTCCACCTCTACAGCATTTTGCAAAATGATGTCATGTCCAAACTCTAGGGTTCCGGGGATTTTTTAACAAAGATTCTCCCCTCTCCCCAAATTTCAGATATTAAAGAGACATTTTTCAAACACTTAACCTCTGAACGTTTGTCTGGAGGTATAAAAACATGTTTTAAATAAGAGAAACATTTGCATTCATTTCAACTCACCACTCCTAAATTCCATGACACATTTACCCTTTTCCATATCCACTTTTACTCAAAATAAGAACCTCTCACCTTCTCTAGTCTTACTTTTCATTACGGACTGCTGTGGTCTCACTATTGAATTTCAGCCACAGGTTGTGCAGAGACAACACGACCGTATCCCCTTCCCTTTTACCCCAGTCACCAAAAATCACAGTTTGTTTTCCAAGAGGGTAAAAATGACTTCACTCACTATTTTCCAAGTTTAAGATATAAAAAAAACCCCCAAGCTTTAATTTGTAGAAAACACAGAATGGAGACAGAGGCACATGCAGCAACTGACTAGACTGCTTTTTTTTTTTCTTTTCTTTAAATTACCATATTCTGCATTTGCCAGCTACTACAGGGACAGCGTCAGCCTTGTCTCAGCATTACTCAGCTTATAAAATGATTCCAAACATGCAGAGGATGCATACCATTAAAATATGAAATTATACTGCAGACATCTGTGAAACACGGCAGGATGCAGGAGAAAGGCTCTTTATAAAACAGGATTTCATTCTCAGAATTGCACAGTTGTCTTGTTTTTCCACAAAGCATGAGGACAAAGTACAATCATATTTGAAATCCACTCATGCCATACAACAAAATTAACTTTCAAAAGGAAAACCAGACGTGGCAAAAAAAAAAGAGAAAAACAGTTTTGGTATGGAAACACGGTATTCAGCAAATCTGGAAGTTGGCTGAACACCTGTGGGGTTTTTTTCCAGGCTTGGCTAGTGACTCGGCAGTCCAGAGAGCCAGCTTCCCAGAATCATCCACAGGAAGAGTTTAAAGCCCCCTGGTGACCCCACTCACCATACACGCCGTGCTCCAGATGTCAGCAGGGGTGTTGTACCCTGACCCGATCAACACCTCCAGGGATCGATACTGTCTCGTCTGGATGTCTTCAGTGAAGTGCTTGTGCTAAAGAGAAGAAATGTTTTATTAAACAGTTAGAGACTGTTTAAAGAAAGGAGAATCAACAACCTCAAAGGCCAGAGCAGATGAATTTCATCTCAATTTTACATACTCATTAAATCATAGAATTGTTCAGGTTGGAAGGGACCTTCAAGCCCCCCCAGTGCCACCCCCTGCCCTGGGCAGGGACACCTCCCACCAGACCACGCTGCTCCAAGCCCCCTCCAACCTGCCCTTGAACCCCTCCAGGGATGGGGCAGCCACGGCTTCTCTGGGCAACCTGGGCCAGGCTCTCACCACCCTCACACCAAACAAGTTCTTCCCCACAGCTCAGCTCCATCTCCCCTCTTTCAGGGTCAAACCCTTCCCCCTCCTCCTATGGCTCCCTTCCCTGATCCAGAGTCCCTCCCCAGCTTTCCTGGAGCCTCTTGAGGGACTGGAAGGGGCTCCAAGGTCTCCCCGGAGCCTTCTCTTCTCCAGGCTGAACCCCCCTCCCCAACTCTCTCAGCCTGTCCTCACAGCAGAGGGGCTCCAGCCCTCTGAAGCTATACATAAGACACTCCTCAAGTAAAACAGTCCAGGAAAGCAAGTCACAAAAACAGGCCAAGGGAAGACTGTTTCAGAAGCTGCACCTTCTCCTACTGATCGTGACAGGCCAGGATTCAGGTGCCTTAAGGCAGAAAAGCAACACCAATTTAAGAGATGACCTTGCCAGCTGCTGCAAGCCTGATGTGTGCAATTCTAAGTCTGAGACTCTCTCCCATAAGATCTGAAGTATTTTGCCACTTAAAAAGCCAAGTAAAATAGGCATTTCTTCTATTTGAGATGTCAAACGTTTAAAAGCAGCACAGCAAAACGATCAAAGAATAAAACTATTTATGAGTCTCTTTCATGTGCTCATGAATCCACTGGAAATGGTTTGACAAGCTAATAAAGTACAGAACTAGCACATCAGAGCAATTGTTTGCAACTTTCTCATTCTCCAGACTCTTTCAGAAGTTCTGCATGTGCAAATTTCTACCCTTTAGATGTGACACTCTCCACGGGCCTACTAGAAATAATACAATGGCTAAAGAGACACCCAGAACACAGGCTGAAATCCTATGTTGAGGACTATTAATGTCCCTGCTCCCCTGTTTTGTTCCCCCCAATGGAGTTTCAAACTGTCACTACTTTCACACGCAGGTCTAAGAATCTATTTTATGGATTCTTTTCTACCTTGGCATCCCGTGAATGAATTAGCACGTTTAGACAGTAATGTGAACAGATTTTAAACTTACCACCCAGCAGGCATTCCCCAGGTCAGCTATCTTCACTTTGAGCTTATCTGCATTCTTGGGCTCAAGAGGATTAAGAAGGAAATTCCCAGCAGTCGATTTTCCTAGAGGCAACACAGACAACAGCTGATTAAAGCTACATGGACACTGTCACCATCTGTCACCCAAATCCTACAGCCTTCTCCCCTACCCAGGAATGGGTTTGCTCACGGACTTTTCCCTCCCCGAAGACTAGATATAAAAATCAGCATCAGTCTGCTCTATGAACAACAGGAATCATGGAATTGTCAGAGTTGGAAGGGACCTCTAGAGATCATCTAGTCCAACTCCCCTGCCAAAGCAGGGTTGCCCAGAGCACATCACTCAGGAGCATCCAGGCAGGGCTTGAAGATCTCCAGAGAAGGGGACTCCACACCCTCCCTGGGCAGCCTCTGTCAGGGCTCTGCCACCCTCACCCCAAAGAAGTTCTTCCTCAGATTAGAGTGGAACTTCCCATGTTCCAGCTTGTGCCCGTTGCCCCTCGTCCTGTCACTGGGAACCACTGAAAAGAGTCTGGCTCCATCCTTCAACCCACCCTTTAGATACTTACAAGCATTAATAAGGTCTCCCCTCAGCCTCCTCTTCTCCAGGCTAAAGAGCCTCAGCTCTCTCTCAGCCTTTCCTCATCAGGGAGATGCTCCAATCCCTCAATCACCTTCGCTGCCCTACACTGGACTCTCTCCAGTAGTCCCCTGTCCTTCTTGAACTGGGGAGCCCAGAACTGGACGCAATATTCCAGTTGTGGCCTCACCAGTGCAGAGCAGAGGGGGAGAATGACCTCCCTCAACCTACTGGCCACACTCTTCCCTACGCAGCCCAGGATCCCATTGGCCCTCTTGGCAACAAGGGCACATTGCTGGCTCATTGATAATTTACTATCCACCTGGACCCCCAGATCCTTCTTCTTAGAGACTATTAGACCTGACTGGTGTCACAAAGCAGAAGTAAGAACATGCAGGAGTGACACTTTCCCAGAACTACTTACACAGCCTTAAAAAGTCCATCTAGATCTAGACAGGCTTTTTCAATAAAGGCACTGCCAGAAACAAAACAAGCCTCTCAACCCTTAAATCTTTCTAAATCTCTGAAGGATAGTCCCCATGTTATAGCACCTTTTTGCCAGAGCCATCACTCACTGCTGCAAGAGACAGTCCCAAGAGCTGAAGTATCTTTGGCAAAAACCTCAGTGACACAATGGAGAGCAAAAATATTAAGTCCCTAAACTACATCCAGCTGTAGCTCTGAAGCAGTTTGGGAGAGAGCTGTGAGAAGCAAAATATACTTAGGAATCTAGCACAGCATCCAGCTACATGCAGTTCAAGTTTCAAAATCTTAGTTTTGTTCCCCTGAAACAAATAATATTTAAACAAAAAGCATTAAAGAGGTTTTTTTTTCCCTATGCTGTATAAGCTTTGTTTCCATCATTTCTAGTTCTGCGAAAACATTGACTCATCTCAAGTAACTGAGAGGAGTCACCTGTGCTTCATTTTAAGAGCAAAACCATCAGAACATACTGAATGGTACTTACTCTATAATTTAACAGCCAGTGACAATTTGCAGACTTACATTTCTGATTATAAGTGAAAATTACATAAGCAACACCTGATACAAAGGGGAAAATGTCCCTATGCTGGAAAACAAATGTATGGGTTATTTTTTAAAAGTGGGAATAGCTATACATTCAATTGTCTAAAGTACAACAACTAGAAGCTACAAACAGCAAATACAACAGAAAAGAACTGCCATGTTAATTAGTCCTGGGAGAAAAAGGCCCAAACAGGTGGTTCTGATCCCTTCAGCCCACAAAATGGAGGTTTCTATAACACTCTGATGAAGTGATGTAACAACTCTCCCAGACCGAGGAGAAAGGAGCCCTTTCTTACAGGGTTCCTCTTATACCTTTGTTGTCTGAGGGGCCGTTATTCTCATTCTCGTCCTCTGAAGGTAGCTCTGTCCGGATGCTTTCTTGCAAGTGGTTGATCTGCTCATTGAACGAGCGATCCTCGTTGGACGTGGGCTGACACACCATGGAATCCTCTGAAACCAAGGGCGCGAACGAGACCGACATTCCTTCTTGGGGCCTGTTCTCTGAGTCGCCATTACGCTGACTGTAATTACAACTATGGAAGTTCTCCTTCGAGTGAGGATGATCACCACAGTCATTGGCATTATGAAGGTCATCCTCAAGTTGCACAGACCCTTGGTTGCCGGAGTCTGGGAAGTCCGTCATTTGTATCACTCCATTGCAATTTATTTCTGTTACACATTTTTCCACATTGCTTTCCATTAGAATTGATTGCTCTTGTACAACAGCTTCAGCTGGAAGAGAGGAAAAGGAGAAGATAGAATCTATATAATCAAAGTAACAGATGAAGCTGTTCTGGGAGTCCCCAGAAGTAGGCAGTTCTCAAAACGTGCATCTTGTGTTCTCCTAAACCTACAAGACTTAGTTTTTTCCCCCCTGAAACAAATCATATTTAAACAAAAGCACTGAAGACGATTGTTCCCTGCACTGTATAAGACTGCATTTCTAGTTCTGCGAAAACATTCACTCAAGTAACTGAGAGGAGTCACCTGTGCTCCATTTTAAGAGCAAAACCATCAGAATGGACTGAACAGTACTTATCCCATAATTTAACAACCAGTGACAAATTACAGACTTACATTTCTGACTATAAATGAAAAATCACAAAGGAGGGAATGGCCCTATGCTGAAAAAGAAATGTGTGGGTATTTTTTACAAGTGGGAATACTTATGCATTCAATAGTCTAAAGTACAACTACAGCTGGAAGCACCACAGTCATTCATTAACTCAATTTGTAACAGGGTCTTTTCTAGTCTCATTAGACAAGTAAAATGCAATGCAAACAGGCTAAATAATAATGGCCACCTCTGCTGAAGATGCTCCCCCTCGCTCAGCATGAGTGACAGGACAACACTGTGCTACTTCAGCAATATTTTAGGTTGATACCTGGCTTTTTGCTGACATTTTCCTCTGGTGGACTAACTTTTATGAGCATTTCCAGGGGGCTCTGAGGTTCTTCCTCTTCTTCAGGCTGATTCTGCCCAGGGCTTGCTTCCTTCTCCATTTCCTCTATCTCTTGCATTCGCTTCTCTAACAACTCAGCCTGTCGTTTCTGCTTCTTTTTCAACTTCTTTTTCTTATTCTTTGACATTTTGTCAGCCTACACAGAAGCAGAGAAATTGGACTTAGCATTTCATATTTCAGTAACCTAAAATGCGTTAAGTTTTAATTTATTTTTGAGCTGAGGAAGCAGCCTGGTCTGAAAACACTGGAGATGGCTCTTCTCCCCCAGATAAAAAGCAGATATTAAGGTTTTTGGAGCAGTTGCCTGAGGCTCTCGTCAATGCATTTCTGTCCTGACCTAAGCAGCTGACAGAATTCTCCAAAGGAGGGATCTCAGACTCCAAAGACAAGAGTCACCTTCACAACAGACCCTGACACCACCAAAAAGACTATTCCTTCTGGTTGTCACAGAATCACAGAATGCTATGGGGTTGGAAGGGACCTCTGGAGATCATCCAGTCCAACCCCCTACCAGAGCAGGTCCACCCAGAGCAGGTTGCACAGGAACGTGTCCAGGCGGGTTTTGAATGTCTCCAGAGACGGAGACTCCACCACCTCTCTGGGCAGCCTCTTCCAGGGCTCTGCCACTCTCACAGGAAAGAAGTTCCTCCTCATGTTTAGATGGAACTTCTTATGTTCAAGTTTGTGCTCATTTCCTCTTGCCCTGTCACTGAGCACCACTGAAAAAAGACTGGCCCCTTCCTCCTGACACCCACCCTTTCAGTATTTATAGGTGTTGATCAGATGCCCCTTCAGCCTTCTGTTCTCCAGACTAAAAAGACCCTAGTCCCTCAGCCTCTCCTTGTAAGGGAGATGGTCCAGGCCCCTCATCTTTGTAGCCCTATGTGGTGCATGAGCCAACACCACTCATATCTCCAGGACAGCACTGAACCTGGTCAGTGGATTTGTGTCTGTGACAAACACAAATCACACTTTTCCTTCTGCTATTAGGCTGCTTTCCCTTAATGCTGATGGCATTACGAAATAACGCAGTAGATGGCTACTTATGCATGGAAGCAAATCACACTTACTGGTTTTGGTTGCGGCGCAGTGCTCACTGAAAGGGAAAAGAAGATGAGTAAATTAGTGAGTTTATATTCAAAAACTGCAACTCCATTCTTAACGTAAGCTTTTTACTATGTGGTTTGGTAACAACATTTTAAAGGTAGCAGCAAATGGTATTTTAGAGCCTTATTTCTCTAAGAAATGCACAGCAAGAATTAAAAAAAAAAAGAGAAAAACATTTAATGAGTAAATGCATAAGTAAAATTCCAGATCATAGACTTGCATGATTGATATCAAAGACTTAAACTTCCTGTCACGCAGCTTCATTTACTGCATGTATTATGCATCTTACTGAAAATAAAATGCAAAGCAAAACATTAAAATACCAAAGTTAAGGGAGTTTCCCTAAGCTAATGCTACGACGGGTTAAGCTAAATGTTAGTGTTGTGAGATAATGACTGACAGAGCTCTTCATGAAATGCATTTCCAGCATCACGCAATGAAAGGAAAGAAACTTCTGAAGAAAATGTAAGAAGCACCTCACCACATTTGAGGTCAAGAAGTTTCTCCTCATGTTTAGATGGAACTTCTTATGTTCAAGTTTGTGCCCATTTCCTCTTGCCCTGTCACTGAGCACCACTGAAAAAAGACTGGCCCCATCCTCCTGACGCCCACCCTTTCAGTATTTATAGGTGTTGATCAGATGCCCCTTCAGCCTTCTGTTTTCCAGACTAAAAGGACACAAGTCCTTCAGCCTCTCCTTGTAAGGGAGATGCTCCAGGCCCCTCATCATCTTTGTGGTCTTCTGCTGTACCCTCTCCAGCAGTTCCCTGTCCTTCTTGAACTGGGGAGTCCAGAACTGGACACAGTGCTCCACGTGGGGCCTCACCAGGACAGAGCAGAGAGGGAGGATGACCTCCCAAGTTAGAGGAGATGTCTTCCTAAGTGAGATCAGGTATGATTTTTTTTTGGGGGGGAGAAATAGTATCAGTTTTCAGGAAAAAAAAACATACCTGCAGAGCCAGATGGTGGGGGAGCCCCCGATCTCTGCCACTCTGTGGCTTCTGCAGCCAGCCTGCGGATATATTGGTCGTTAACGCACAGGAGAATGTTTTCAGGTTTGATATCTGTATGAATGATTCGACATTTCGTGTGCAAGTAATCCAGACCCTGAAGAACCTGTGGACAGGAGAGAAGGAATCCCAACATGAGAAAAAGCAAAGAATGCGCACATAGAGAGCACAGTGGAAATGCAAAGTTGAAGTTGTCCACAATGACCAATGAAGGACTTCTGTGTTGAGAATACTCCAGATTAGCTCTAACGTGATCAGTGGTTACTACTCAGTTCCAGATAATACAGATTTGCACACGGATTTTAGCTATAAATTTAAAATACTCTCTTTACCCTCAACACCACAGTTGAAAATCTAATTTCAATACCGTGCAGTAAAATCACGCTTTCCTCCTCCCCTCCACTTCACATGTAGAAAGATGTTTCTTCTTAGGCAACCATCCAGTAGGAAGAACAGGTTTCTCTTGCTCTTCCCACCATTAAGCACTGTACTTACTGTGAAAGTTTTAAAAAAATAAATACTTGCACTTACAAGGAATAACTAGGGCTAGAAGAGGGTAAAAGCAAAGCTGGCCTGCCATAGTGGTTTAAGTGTCAGAAAATAAATATCCATAGCAGAAGGCTCTTGCAGTAGAGAAAGGAAATATTAACCCCAGGATGATTTTGTTGCGTGAGATACACACCAACAGAAGTGGTGTGTATCTCATTTTTTTTAACTTCTGTTAACTTCTGTTTTCTTGGACCCGAGCAAAATTAGTAAAAGAGTTCTCACTCGGTCGAGGGGATGAGTGCAGTCAAAACTGGAACTTACCTGCTTGATGATCTTTTTGACGCAAGGGAGTGGAAGCCCCTGATAATTTGACTTGATGATCCACTTGAGGAGATGATGCCCCAGAACTTCAAACACCATACAGATATCTGGAACTCGGTCAAGGAAAGAGATGGACAACCTGACCCAAGGACTGAAGACCAAAAGAAATCCATACCAGTAAAGTGTTTTATATTAAAGAACCCTCATCCTTCTCGCACAGCTTAGAGAAGCTGCCTTCCTTAACAGCCCCATCCCATCCTACACATCACTGCTGTTATCTAAAGCCTGAAATACAAAGGGATGGAGTTGGTTGGGATAATGGTCCAAAGGCAGCAGTAGCAAACTCCTGCTTTGGGTGAAAGCCATTACACAAGCAAGAGCATTAGTACTTCCTGCAAGTATTAAGACAGCTTCCAGCCAACAATGTATGTTTTGGAACAGGCCTAGCTCTTGCCTCAGGCAAAACTCTCTCTGTACCAGCATTACCTGAAAAGATAACAAAATTTCCATTTCATAAGTCATCTTCAGAACAATTAAGTACTTTCTCCGCCCTCCCTTGCCTCTTTACCAGCAAAACAAACTTTTAACAAGCCTGGACCTCAACAGTATTTACATTATCTGCTTTTTGTCTACAAGATCTCAACAGCTACAGCCACTCTAGTGACAGATTCAGAATTGTGCCTTTGCTTTAGAAGCCAGAGTTCTAGGAGTTTATTAGGCTGCTTTTCTTCTATGCTGGCAGAAAGCATGAATGTGTTTCACAAGAGTGACAGAAATACAAGAGCAAGTCAACATTTACTTGGTGCTAGGTATTGGGGAAAAGTTCACAGAATAAATCCATTATGGGGCTACTGTTTTTTAGAAGCGTTAGAACATTTATGATCTACAGCTCAATTCTCTCAAGCAGCCCAGTAATTCTCAGGGAAATAAAGTCCAAGTTACTGCAAAGCAGAAACATGCACAAAAGTGCAACTTTTAAGCTTTAAAGGTGCATTACTAAGACTTGCCACAAATCGCTGCCCTATTAGAAGGCTGTTCACAGAACTTCAGGGGATTTCCAAAGCAATATACTTTAAACATGCTAACGATGTTGATAAAGTCTGTGCTTCCGTAACAAGAAAACCACTGTATTATCAACTTACAGACTGCATGGGTTTGCTCTTTTTAATTACCATTCTTAACATTTTGTCCTGCTTTCCCTCAGTAAGGGGTTATTACCAGGCTGCTCGCAAAATTGAGGGGTTGAGAGAGACAGGCTCTTACCCCAAGGTACCTCGGACATGAAGCCCTTCAGTGCTGATGACAAACCAGACGCAGCTACCCCATCTCTGGGTGATGTTCCCAGCCCAACTCAGCAGAGCTGACTCCACAATTTAGATATATTACATCAGGCTGAACGATGATTCTGGATCTAAGGCAGCTTTGAGGCAGATGATTCTACAGCAGGTTCGTTGGGCAGCAAAGGAGATGCCTGGGTTTGCTCCCCAGCCCTGACATGACAGCTCCCCCGTAAACTCCCAGCTTTGTGTAATTCTCTGCCTTTATTCCCCAAAAGGATACGGGAACCATTCACTCCTGAAATCTTGAAGTCATCTAATAACTGAACAACTCTCTCTTTGCTTGGATCATTTGGATCACTGTTGCGGACCTGCAGAGAGAAAGAGCATTAATTTTGTGTTCCTTGAGGTAATTACTAGGCAAGAATGTATGTCTGAAGTCAGATCTACTGCACTACTGTTAGGTTCCTACCCAATTCTTTGCAGCTAGATGACCCAGAAATATCTAGCACGTGACTAATGTGTACTCCCCAACACGAATTTAAAAGAAAAAATTTAAAAAATGGACCCCCACTCTCAGGCACTCACCGATTTTAGCAACTTGATCTCATCCAGTGCTGTTTCTGTGTAGTGCTCTGCACTCTTCACCACCTTCATTGCCACAAATCTCCTCCCTCTACGCACACACAGTAAGGAAATTGGAGATGGTTAACACTCACACAAAGAACTTATTCTCCAGGATTATCCTAATTCTTTTGCTTATAAGAAAGCTACATATTTAAAGCATCATGGAAAAATGACATCTAAGCACTCTCATGATGATTGTCTTTGGGTCTCTTTTTATAAAACTTCCACGTTAGTCATTTCTCATAAAATGAAATAACAGGTCAGAGGCTGCTGAAGACAAGGAAAGAGTTTCCCCACACGTGGTTTGTTCTCTTAACTCCTTCCCACACACACAATATCAAAAGAAACTTCTGCATTCGGATATGGACAGCTATGTTTTGTGCTTTTATCTCAAAGTGAAAAGGTGCTTTCTGATCGCGTTTGTGCAACGCTGTACATTCCCACCAGAAGCACCAGTTAGGACGGAAGGACTTACTGGATGTCCCATGCGAGCCACACAGTGGAGAAGTGGCCCCATCCGAGCTTCCGAATCACGTGGTATCGTCCATTAAATAGATCTCCGATCTTCACAAGGTGATAACCACCTAGAAAAACAGTGGGAAGTTTGTTTATCAGGTGATCACACAAGCACTGAGGAGCAGGTATGTGGAACAAGCATCACAACTTGAGGCAGACTTATTTGATACGTTTAAAATTTAAATCATATAAACAAATGCAAATGTTTCTCTAATTGGATCTTGCTAGAACAAATATACAGTACATTAAAGGAAGAGCTGTGAACAGCCCTCTAGTTGATTGGAAAGTTTTAATATAATTGAACTAGGAAGGCTGACTTTTCCTCCTTTTCAATGTAGGTCCATCACCGCAGCATCACAAAAGGTTAGTTTCTCAGTGAAAGCATCTGAAGTCTCCTACACTGACCACCTTTGGAAAACACAACTTACAGTGTTCAGTACCAGAATCATACAGCTAAACATCAGCATTGCTTTTGCATGCTCTGTCTCCATAACGTGAGAGTTCTGCACCCAAGATACCAATGGAGCTTCCCCTGCTACCGCTTTCCGGACCGAAAGGCACTTTGCACCTTAACATCATCACTGAAATTAGGAAATTCTCATCCCCATATCCCTAGTATCTCTCAGCTGCTGGCTATGCAGGAGGATTCCATGCTGGAAGCAAAGCCACGAAAAGCCAGACACAGACACAAGGGAAATGGCAGAAAACAGAGCGAAGAGAATAATCTGTAATTGGTAAGGTGTAAATTTCTGCCAGAACCTGGAATTAGACCGTGGATTCCAGGCGCTTGCTATTCAGTTGTGGTCAGCAAATACCACCCAGGAAATACACGCTTTGCCAGAAGATTCCTCTCTCTCAATTAACTGGTTGACAAACAAGACATAGACTCACAATTAATTACTTCATTAGCTCAAGCAGCAGAAGTCCCTTTTCTCCACTTAAAGATTTCAGTTACAGCAGTGACAGCCCCACCAGTCACTAACTCACACAATGGCTTTCTTCTTCCCACTTGCTTTACAGCAAACAAAATCCCACCAATATTTGGGTAGCACGCTAAAAGTAACATGAATGCTTTGAAGTAAAGCACTGAAGTGGAAGAAACGTTGCAATTCTAGTTCTTTGTGCTATTTCTACTTTTCATTTTTTTGATATACATATATGGCATTTGTTACATGCTCCTCCCTCTGCCGTATTCAATAAGTACAATAAATAGTATCACAGAAGAATTTATTTTAGAAAGTACTTGGAGGTGAGGGGACACATTAAAGCTTCAACTGATCGATCAGTTGAATATCTACGATCAGTGTTCTGTCTTTTTTTAAAAAGGGTATTTGCTATGTTAAAAAACAACCTGGCCCTTTTGATATTGAATTATATACTATGGTATTTCCATTTGGTCTGTATTTGCTCAGAGAAACAGCGGAAGACTGTATTTGCAGACAGAGTTATCTGAAGAATGGATACCAAGACGATGATCTTTTACCAATTTGAAAGCCCTCTGGCACAGAGGAAAAAGCAAACAGCTTTAAACACATGCATTAAAAGCAGCTCTCCAACTCAAATCTTTACTGATAACAGAGGGAACCTTGGAGAATAGTTCCTGCATTTCAGGTTAGCTTGAAAAATGTTATTGTCATCATGCAGCTTCAAAAAACACTTAAAGTAAGAGGGAGTCTATTTTCATTTCTCTATAGTAGATGGGAAATCTTGGGAATTTCCTGATTACAGTGAAAATTTGGTGCCTTAAACAGGCAAGTTCTCACCTTTGCAGTAATCATTTGGATCCTCTTGTTCGTCGTCATCTGATCCCAGGATTTCCTCCTCCTGCTCAGGAAGATCGTTCTCGGAATGAGCCGCAGGGCCCCGATGCTGGGGGTCGGGTCTGGAAAAGAACACATCACACGTCTCGCACGTTACCACTCAGCTCAGCACCTCTCCTTCCACAGCAGGCACTGCTGACAATTTTATGTGTTTAACTCTTCCCAAATGTGCTACTCCGAGTCCCAAAGATCACATTGGCAAAGGCCACCACAACGCTGTGATGCATTTAAGCTGTGTTAGGGTTCCCTGAGCTAAAGGACATTGCTGTCCCCCTGTGTCCCAACTCCTCCCGCAGCAGTGCTCTGCTACGGCCAAACAGCTCACACAGAGATAATTCTAAACCAGGTAAATTAGTTATTTTACAAACCATTACAAGGAATGGTTAATTCTCAACAGAATTTAATCTTCAATATCCTTTCTTACAAATTAAGCATTTATAATGTAAACAATGCCTATAGATCATTTGCACTGGCAAGATTCAGTGGGAAAATACTGCAGGATATTAACTCTAAGCTTTTTATTTTTTTTCTTAGAAGTATAGGATTAAAAAAGCTGGAGTTGTCCAAGGAGATGGGCAACAATTTTTTTTATAGCAAATGAGGTACTAGCATGAGATAACATTCTTTACAACGTGCTTCCCTGTCAGTGTGAATTAGTGGAAGTTTCTTGTATGGAAACTATTGTTCCAGTGAAGCAGCAGCTGTAAGGGCCGCTTCCCAGCAGGTTATTTCAAATTCCACTCATTTTCCTCAAGAAGGAGTAGCTGCTGAGGCAGCTGCTGGCCATGGCGGTGGACAGGGTAATGCCTGTGGGCTTTCGGATGCAGTTTTACAGCTCAGGATGTACAGGACTCCCACTCGGTTATATCACGGCCATACTAACTGATCTTAATCCATGGGACAAATTTAATAGTACAATTCTAAGAAGTTATACAACAGCATGAATGGTCAGCATTTACCTACTACGCATGCGCCCTGCTCAGATGTCATAAATTAAATATATTACTACATGCTAAAGCTCCAGCCATCTTCAGTATCTACAGAGCATGAAAAGGAAGAAATGGCCCCTTCCAAGCTGATCACAACTAAACTTGTAGCTATCTACAACCTGGAATTGGAGTTCATTAAAGCAAAGAGGAGCTACAAAGGTCCAACCAAACCACCCCCCATTTATTTCAGTCGGTTGTCAGAGCTAGTAAGTCTTGCTGATTTAATTCAGGAATAGATAAGGAACACAGATTAGTGGTCCCCAACCATAAAAGAAGGCAGCCAGACAGTCCATTCCACTGCTACCAGGCTAATTGGACATTTATTATCAACCTCATAGATTGATCCAGCTCAAAGTTATTTAGTATTTTAGACTTTTATTTTCCATGTAAACCACAGAATTCCAAGTTGGGGGTAGGAAGAAGAAAACTAGGAGGGGGAGGAGGGAAGTCCTGGAGGTCAAAAAAGCTCCTTTAGAACTGCTGCATTCCTTTGGGGACAACTGAGCTAGGAATAAAGTCATAGACTATCCCCAAATTAAGAGCAGGTTGCAAACGAAAGAAAGCACTATGGGCAGAATGGCTGAAGGGAAGACGGGATGCTCATATATAACAAATCCTATAGATAGGGTAGAGGGAACCAGAAATGGACAGAAAGGAGAATTTCAGCCCAGTAGCCACACCCACAGCGTAAATAATCAAGAGTAATTTTCCCCAGTGCTGTTTCAAGATTTTTCATTTTCATAACTGTGAGAGATGTAAGGGATTGGATCGGATACAAAAGAAAATTCTTCTTAAGAACCACTGATGCAGACAGAAACATCGTGCCATTCCGCAGTCCCAATGCTCCTCAATAATAGTAATTTCATGCATCAAGGAAGTTACTGGAAGCACTAAAGCCCATTCTCCGGGAAGGTTTCTCCTAAAAACGGAGCTGAGGAATCCTGCTGAGACGGCCTCGCACACGACACACCCCACAGCCTGCAGCCCAGTCTGTCCCGGGGACTCAAAACCATTTCACTCCTACGTTATAATCTACTACACCAATTAACACGATAGTGAGCCCAATTCAGGTCACAGACATTTCTACACTGCTATTTCCTTTATGAAATCACCTCCAAAACACAGCTCGTTTCTCTGCCTTCCTGCCAAAATTCATTAGATGTTATTACATCCCACCACCTTCTTCCCCCAAAGCGACCATGTCAAATGCAGATACGGATTAAGAGAGGCTTAATCAGTGCAAAATATGGTTTAATAACAAAAAGAAAAACCCAAAAGACTGATACACAAACGCACAACCCTCATCTGTCTGCTTCGCTCACACAGAGAGTGCTCTAAAAGGCACAAAAGGCTGCTAAAGACAGCAGAAAAATCCATACTGGGTATTTAAAGGTGACAGCCCCAAAGCCCCAGTAGCTGTCTACAATATTGCAAAATGCAGATAAAATATAAAGAGAGCCTATGAAAGATGGTTAATAGCTTACACGTCAAAAAAAAAAAAATCAAGCGTTCTATGGTACTGTTGTATTATAGCTGCCTCTCTTCTACTTAAGAACACCTTGATCACCTTTTACTTTTGCTCTCTCAATGTGCTAATTGATCATCAGAATTACCTGGATTTGCAGGGTCTCTCTACAACTACACAGCATTATTTTATTTAAGGAAAACAATGTGCAATAGCAATGCTAAGGCAAAACACTGGATCTTTTACAGAATTCGTGTGAATCCATATCTGGAGACCCTCCCAAAAGTCCTTACTCTCTAAGGAACGCCCAAAGAACTGCAAATTCATGAGATAAAAAGAATTAAAGGTGATAACCTACCTGCAGGAAGCACGGCCTCCCATTGATAACGCTATTCCTGAAGACAGCCCAACCGTTTTCGAAAAAGCCATGTAAAATCAGCCAGCACAGTGTCAGGAAGGCGGGGGGGACATCGGAGGGGCTGGTTCTCCAGGAAGGCAGCACAGCTTTGTGCGGGGAGCGAGGAAGAGGAGGGCTCTGCCTCCTCCACCACCTAGTGCAGAGGCACAGCACTGCATTGCAGGTACGTGGCCTCGCAGCAAAGGCTGCTCCTGCTCCTCTCCCTGCCAATTCAGGCATCTTAGGGGCTGAGCATACATAAACTCATCTCCTTCCTTCCTCTTGATGTCTACCTGCCCCAATCTTCCCTCTTAATGAAATTAGAAATTCAGGCAGATACTTTGCTCCGTCTTCCTGAACGAGCCGGTTTTATTTGCCTATTCAATAAACCACTGGATTCAAAGCTGGGATGAAGACTCAGATCATGGTAATTTCTGTCACTCCAACCCTTTTGATACAGAAATCAGCACAATCACACGGGGGAGATAGGGCGTTCAAAGAAAAAAAAGTGGATTTTCTGAAGTATTTCCAAGCCTCCCCCATCCAGAGTTAGGAGAAAAACTTATCCTTTACGCAAAAAAAGAAAAAAGCAGGAGTCATCGGATCTTCTTTAAAAAGGTGAACTGAGGATTTTTCACAGCAGCAGGCACTTCACATCATCCTCCGACCATGTAAAAGAATTACCAACCATTTCCTGCGCCTGTTTATCCTGCTGGTTTATGTAAGCGATAGGGGAAACAACTCAGCAACAACATGACATAGCAAGTACGATTTTAAGAGATTTTCTCTGCTACAGAGGACTCCTCATTAGTAAGACGCTGATGCTGGCTCTGCATTTTTCAACAAAGGAGTTTAAATAAGAATTGGATTCATCTGATTGTGTATCTCAAAATGTTTTCACCTTAAAATCTCACTGGAGTTTGAACAACCTGTTAACAACCTCTTCGTACTAGAAGAGGTGCCAACAACATGGAAAATTTTCCACTGTAGACAAGATTCTGCTGCAAGTTCACTGAATCCATCACCCAGCAGCTCTGCCCACCCTGCACAGAAGGGACAGAGAGGGTTATTTACAAGATTTACTAAGATTTCAGTCGCTCACTTGTTCCTTACAAAAGGTCTTCAAAGCATTTAGAAAACTTTTTTCCAAAGAGTTTGGAATACACTTCTGTACTCTCTTGCCGGTTGCCCATAAAATCACTTATTTGGTCCACACACTAAAAATAAAATAAAAAAAAAAACGGTGAAGAAGCCCCAATCGCTCAAAGTGTGTTGTTGCAGATTTGCATTGAGGTGGATCCAACAGCATCAGGAGGAGATGGGAGACCACGGCCACAGCCGTTAGCACAGACAACGTGACGGAACAGCAGTGTTCTTTGGACTGTTCTTTCAGTGGCACAAGCACGAGCTCCCTCGCCCTTCTCTATGCATTGGAGCCATCCCATCAGCCAAGTCTCCACATGCAGCTTCACCATCAAAGTTCACAACTTGTTTTCTCCACCCCAATAACTTACATAAACTCTTGGAGAGAGGTGTTTGGTTCTCCTGGTTGAGAGAGACTTCTTCAAAACTCTGTACAGGAAATAAGTACTTTTCCTTGTCCCCAAAACAGCAGAAATACTGTCCATGCTACCCACATACCTGCTCTGAACTGACACAAAAGCAGGTCCCTTCCACCCTCAAAGACAGATTTAATCTGAATAGCTTTCCCAACATTTCATCCTTATATATCTGCCAAGAAAAAAGATACTCCTTCCTCCTCTTCACCTCAGCTTGTGAGTCCCTTAATATCTGCAGAGCTGACGCCCGTCTGTAGGAAACCGAAGACAATTGCTTTCCTAAATGATTTTTAAGCCGCCTGCAGCACAATTTTTATAAACACTGTCATTCCTCATTTGCAAGTTCCAATTACACACTTGAAACACCCCCAAACCGAATTCAATTCAGGGAACTTAAGACTAACGATGAATCCAGCTCATGCTGTAGGAGAGGCAGATGACAGTACTATAACACACCCCAGGACTCTCACTTCACCGTACAGCCAACGACTCCCAGGGCTGCACCCCCACTGCACCAAGATCTCACTAGAAGTTCTGTTAAAGGTTCCTTGTTTTCATTTGGGGAAGAGGGGGAAAAAAAGCTCCATATGGCATGATGAAAAGCCAGGATTTAGAATCCCAGAATGGTTTGGGTTGGAAGGGACCTTAAAGCCCCCCCAGTGCCATCCCCTGCCCTGGGCAGGGACACCTCCCACCACAGCAGGTTGCTCCAAGCCCCCTCCAACCTGGCCTTGAACCCCTCCAGGGATGGGGCAGCCACAGCTTCTCTGGGCAACCTGGGCCAGGCTCTCACCACCCTCACACCAAACAAGTTCTTCCCCACATCTCAGCTCCATCTCCCCTCTTTCAGGGTCAAACCCTTCCCCCTCATCCTCGGGCTCCCCTCCCTGATCCAGAGTCCCTCCCCAGCTTTCCTGGAGCCCCTTTAGGGACTGGAAGGGGCTCTAAGGTCTTCCTGGAGCCTTCTCTTCTCCAGGCTGGACCCCCCCAACTCTCTCAGCCTGTCCTCACAGCAGAGGGGCTCCAGCCCTCCCAGCATCTCCATGGCCTCCTCTGGCCTTGCTCCAACAGCTCCATGTCCTTCCTAAGGAGGTTCCAGCCTCCAGGACTGGGAGGCTACTATATTTATATTTAAAATCTCTCTCCTGTATTCACACCCCTGCATCGCAACAGTGTCTCTTTAAGGGAAGGGCGCTTGCCAAGCCGCAGCTCATCACTGCTCCTTAGTGCCCGTAATTTCAAGATCATGTTAAGGCACATCCAGTCAGAAGGACCACTTCTGGTGCCAGCCTCCAACACAGGGAGCTGCTGGCAAACCTTGCGTTCTTGAAGTATTGTACCTGTTTAGAGTCAAACTTTCAGTATGAATTCAGGTCTGAAATGATAAAGGTGTTTTCCTGCTTGCATGCACTTTACCTTTCTGCTCAAGTATTTGGAAGAATTATAAATCATACATTTCAGGGGATTTATGAGTCATTATCAACACTATTTTGTAACTATATGCAGTTCATTCACTCTCCCACCCCTATTTTTTATGACTATAGAGCCAGCATTTTTTGCTGGGGGGACCGATCCACACCACTTGTGGCTGTAGGGCAGCCAGCCCGATACCATCATCAAGAACCGAAGAGCACTGGAGAAGGTCTAACATTTAGCTTTGAAAGAAAAGCACTCAGAGGCACCCAGACACAATTTAGTTCAGTGCATCTGTGGGAGTTCAGTTTGAAGCAAAGTAATAATGAATTTTGGAGGAGAATGGTACTGATGCTCAAATAACAGAGGCAATTGAGTTCCTCGCTCCCGCACCCACTCCCCCACACCAGCACTTAACGAGCTGTTTGTAGAACTGTCTGCTGTTCCAGCGATTACAAACCAAGGGACTTCCATGGAAACCAGCAGATCCTCAGTTGTGTCCTGCCACAGTCTGACAATCCCTTCTGTATTTGAATGAAAAAAAAATCCCGTGGGTGATGAATTCTGAGTCTACCTTTAACTTCTGTTAAAAACACTTACAAAAGATGTAGCCCTGGCATTAATTATGAAAGACAAGTGAAGAAAACATAATCCAAGATCCTGATCCCAGGCAAAGATCTGAAGACAACAGTTGAGGATGAACCCAAGAGGGCTGTCAGAACTCCAGGGCTCCTCAAAGACAGCAGGAAAGTGATAAAAGCAAGACATGCAACAACAAACTGGAAAGTATCACTCTACTAGGACTTTTCTGCTCCCTGGAGTGCTTAGATGGAAAAATTACCAACTTCCTCATCTCTCTTCATAGCAGTCCTATTGAGGAAGAAGAAAAAAGCAAGGCTTCACTGCATATCAGGAGTTGGGCCAGAAAATTACAGATAATAAACCAGCTTCTTGGGAAAAGGGAGAGGAAGCAAGACAGCGATCCTGCACCACCTCAGCTCTGTCACTGCCCTCACTCCAGGAGTAGAGGGAGCCAGAGGAACTATTGAAAGTCCTGTGGAAAAAAACCCTCCCACTCAGTACAGCCTGTAAGAACAGATTAAATAAATTCACCAGTACACGCAGAATTAGAAGAAAGCACTTCAGACCATGTACATTTTTCAGAACAAACCCCATGCTGTATGGCTGCTGCTACCTTTGTGGTTATTCATGCTTAACAGTAATAAAATGTTCCGCTTTGAGCACAATCGGTTCAATGCCCCATATGTGGAACTGCTGGGTTTGTGCAGGAGCAGCCCAACTTCTCCTGAAACAGACCCGTAGCCCAGTTGTAATAATCCACTTAATTCCTTCATTTCAGAGAAAATGAGCGATAAATGAGCTTTCTGTTGAGTGTCTGGTCTGTTTCTCCAACTGCTTTGAATCGGGATGGGAGTTTTTAGCTTAGCTTTTAAACTCTAGGCCTTAATCTCAGTAGTAACCTAAAGAGTCATTTTTTCCTGGGACAGAGAGAACAGTTTGGTCTTCTAAGGGTTTGCAATATACAACGTAGACAGAAAAAAAGCCACAGTATTTTACAGGCAATTACGGTCTAACAGTTACAAGTGCCTGATTCCATTACAAATTACCAGAGCCATTGGTAGAGTACATCTATATTTATCTTTTAGTTCAAATAGAAGCTTACATTTTCAAACAGAAGCACAGTTTTGAAGTAAATACCAGATCTTTCTCATATATCGGGGTTTGGTTCATGCAGTACAACAGTCTCACAGCACAGGAAATTAATCTCTTTCAAAGGAAACCATGCAGGTGGCATGTTCCAGCATCACTCCAGCCAGAAATGGATGTTCTGTCCACACAAGACCTAATTCAAAGCAACATCTCCCTCCAAACAGCACATGGAGCCTTCAAAAAAATACATTTGTGATCTCCTGTTAGCTCGCGCCGAGGCATTACACGCACACACGTGGCCCGGGCTGTGACTTGTGGAACGAGAAGCAGCCACCTCGTGGCGATGAAAGGCTGAACCATTTGGGACACGCAGGGCTCCTTCCTCCCGCTGCTTTCAAGGACACCCCTATCTGACAGCTCATCCAGCATCACAACACGGGAATTCTGTCATCAGTTCCCTAAAAGTCA